TCAGATCATTCGATTTTGGAGTGCATCACAAAAATACATACGATTTGCTACAATAAGGCAGCCACAAGAGGGAAGACGGTTTTGCATTTCATGCTAACACATCTAGTACCGCAACTCACAAAGTGGTAATAAAAATACATGGATTACATTATCCAGGGAGCTTTTAAGGGAACATCATTGACGGAGCTCAGTAGTCAGCGCATCCCTTTAGACAAGCGAATTCGCCACCCCTCCTGCCCCAATTTTTGCACTCCATTTCGCACTTTTCAGTACAAATGTGGACCAGCAAGTGGTCAAAAGTTGCTTGCCAAATTCCAATAATGCGTAATGCTTCTTATGGCGCCCTCCAGCCTCCCTTACGTACGGACCTGAATCAGTGAATTGCATCGTCTCTCTGCCTAGAAGTCCCTGAACTTTGACAAGCAAGCTAGACCCCAGCTGAGAGCAAGGAATTTCCAGTGAACCAAAGCCTTGCGTTTTCATCTTTCTGAATATGAAGCCCCTAAGTGACGCGTTCATGCAACATTCACGTTTTGATGGATAATTATTTGTGACACAACCAAACTTCTTTTACCGGTTGGCTTAAATAAATATTCCTCAACAAATGTAATTATCACACTACTTTTCATTTTCTAATCCATGAGTCGGAGCTTCGCAAGGATACAGTTCACTAGAAATGTCTTTCCTTTCTTATTTTGAATGGTGGTACTGATTGTGAACCGGGATAATGATTGCGATTTTGTCTTGTATCTTAAATGAGGAAAGATGCAAACGTATGGAAATGATTGCCGTGACTCTCCGTGAGTACTTGTCAAGTCACAATTTCTGGTACTTTTCTCCTTCTTAAAACGATTTTAAAAGGTATCGAAGCATTTGTTCGATCAGATAAGGCTCCATCCCCAATGTTAGGACGTTTCAAAACACATCTTTTACTCCAAACCAAAGAACTTGACATGTTAGCTTTCTCCCTGTGGAAAGAGGGAAGGAAGACGAAAAGATCCTTAACTAGTCTGTGAAAGAGGAAACGAATCTCCATGTCCCAAACTTAAAGGTGGACGTATCTGCATTTGCATTGAAACACAGAACAGTCACAGGTTCTCCAAGGTAAGGACAAGCACTTTTTGGTTCTTTTTTCAACTAAACGGCGGTCTTTTTGGAAGTTATGCGTCTTTCAGTGTGTAGCCAAGTGCACCACTAGTGTAGACCTGGAAGTAACCAAGGCAACGGTTCTACGGTTATCTGAACCGGAAGCGGATAATGCGCTGCAAACGCATAATGTTGCTGATAATCGCGCCGACGAATGGATCTGATGGCTGATAACCTTTTACACCGCTGAAGGTTGGAATGTAGAAAAAGCGACTTGCTGCGAGTGGATCACAACTTGGCAATGCTCTTCAGTCACGTACAAATCGGCAGCTCTTTAGCGCAACCGGTTAGATTTGATAGTAGATTAACTAACTAAAGTGACTCGTGGCTCCTTCTGAGAAGCTTTAAGTGAGCCGACCAACGAAATTCAAGACTTGATCTGTATCAAAATCAAAGCAACCAGCGCCATAAATGGTAAGAATAAAAGAAAAGTTAACACTTTTTCAACAGTAGCTAAACAGCAGATTATATTCTCTACTCACCTTTTGTCACGTGATGTCATTCACGGAATGTAGCTAAAAGTCTCTTAATGTTGTCAGGTGCTTTCAAAGAATAATTGGAAAAAAAGAAGCCGCACAATTGCCCGCTCCAACACTCACAAGTGCGATGATCACCTTAGTACAAGTGTGGTACTGCCGAAATGAATGACCAAATGGGGAACTTTTGCTCCACCGAAAACAAACATCAGGCACGGACAGATTCCAACTTCTTAACATTGTGCAAAAAATATTCTGTGTGTTTAATTTAAAGGTAGTTATAATGAAACCCTGCTATTTTAGTCGCATTGTCAAGACAGCAGTGTGAGGCATCAAGTTGATACACTCTCGCGATGACTGGTTATCTGCAAAAATATTAATGATTTCCATTCATCAACTTTTGAGTAAAATGTTCCATAGAGTTGAGACAAACAGATCAAAGGATACGGCATAAGAAATTCAGATTAGAGACCCATGGTCGCAACTCGTTAAAGAATTCCGAGTGGACGTTATCTCAGTGTGAATATTACCCCTACCCAAAAGCTTTTTATCTGACAATATTAGTCTGTATATCGAGGCAAACACATTTTTTCATGGTAGTGTAATTATTCGTATGCATAGAAGGATCTGATACCTTATAAGTCC